GGGCACACGCGCGTGTGTGTGGGGCACCAGGGGCCCCTGTGGCACCCCGTGCGTAGGAGGCCCAGTATGGGGGGGGACCACTGTGGGTGGCACTGTGCATGTCTGCATGCGTGTGCATGTGTGGAGGATTGTGTGTGTGTACATGGCCCCTGTGCCCAGTGGCCGGAGGGGGCTGTCTGTATGTGTTGCGGGGTTGGGGGAGAACAAGCCCCCAGGACTTGCCCTGGAGGCTCCTTCTCTGAGCCACCCGCCCCCCCCCCATCCCTGCCCTGGTCTGTGCCCTCCCTCCCATGCCCTCTGCCCCAGGCCCAGAAGAGAGGGTTGCCAGGTTGGGGGCAACTGGGGGCGCGGCCAGGCCAGGGGTGGGGGCAGAAGGGGGGTGCTAGGTCACTGCCCTCCTGGACTGCCCCTACTTGGGGGTGCTGGTGCAGGTCCAAGGGGCAGCCAGGAGGGGGTGCCCCAACCCCACTTGCAGGGGCTCTGGGCGGTGGGGGGCACCAGCTGACTCTCCCACCCCTCCCTTTCCCCCTCCCGGATGCAGGCACTGGCTCTGGCCCAGGCCATCCCGGGCCTCCATCTGCCATCTCCGGTTCCCGCCCCCCCACCAGCTGCCCCCCCCCAGCTCTGGATGCTGGGTTCTGCCCTCCGCACAAGGCTCGGGGGGCCGTATGCCTGGGTTTTGTGGGCTCTGCTGGGTCCTAATGTGGGGAGCAGGCCACGCTATAGAGGGTCACAGGGCATGAGGCCAGGTCTGCCATAGCCACCCCAGGGGCAGAGCCGATGAGATCGGTGCGGGGGGGAGCCCCAAACTGTGGAGTCAAGCAGCCTCTGCGCCACCTCCCCTGGGAGCCCCCAGCTCCAGTGCCGTGGTGGGGGGGTGGGTATAATTGCTGCCTTCAGCCCCACCGGTGCCCCTCACTCCCAACCCTCAGCCCTGTGCCCCCTGCAGCCCCCTGCCCACCCAGCTCTGTCCATGGCCCTCACTCCCAACCCGCATCCCCTTGCCCCGTCCAGCCCTGACAGGGCCCCTCACTCCTGACCCACAGCCCCCTGCTCCAGTCTCTACAGCTGGGGGGGATATCAGTATCACACGCTGTGCTCCCCCCAGGCCTGTCGTCCCCCCACAGCACGGCCTGTTTATACAATAATAAAAGCAACATTTTTTTGCAGCCTCATTAAAATAAACAAGAGCGGGATGGGAAACCGCTGGCAGCGCCAGGCCGGGCATCCCATTAACCCCTTGCCTGCTGGGGGGGGGCCCAGCTGCCCCAGGGGGCCCTGAGCCCTCCAACCCCACCTCGGCTCCAGACCCCCCCATCTCAGGATGGGGCCTCCTGGGTTCCCTCCCCAGCCGCCGGAGCTGGGGTCCTCTCTGCAAGCTTGGGGGAGGGGGGGCTGGAGTTTCCTGGGGTCTGGGGGGCTCCAGCAGCTGAGACCCCAGGGCTTCGGGGGGCTCCCAGACACCTTCGTTCCACCCGCAGCTGCACTGCCTGGTGTTGAAGGGCTGGGACATGGGGGCTGGGGGGCCGTGAGCCCCTCCCCAGCCCAGCTGGCACTGCTGCCCGGGTCTGCTCGGTGCCAGCTGGGTGCTGCGTAAACAGCACTGACAGCGGTGGGGGGGGGATGGCTGTCTGCCCAGCCGCACTAGGCCCTGCGAGCCCCCCCCGTTGGGAGTACGGGGGGCAGGGCTGTGTGGGGCACCAGGCCTGGGGGCACCCTGCTGGGTCTGAGGCAGGAGTTTGCGGCCCTTCTGGCCTGAAGCTGCCCCCTCCCCATCCCACAGAGCCCTATGCAGCGACGGGCAGCGATGGGAGCCTGTCAGTGTCGGGGGGCTCGGGGCAGCCCCCCCCCTTGCCCGGCTCGGGCCCCCCCC